GATCGCGGTATCGTTGTTCGCGGTATCGTTTATCGCGGTAACGGTGTTCGCGGTAATGTCGTTCGCGGTAATGTCGTTCGCGGTAATGTCGTGTCACGTACTATTCTACTGTTGTAGTATTTTACTATTCTAATCATTGCCATCCAACAGCTTAATTCGGAGTAATACAAATTATGCACTACTAATAGGGCTTAAAATGTTCTTCTATTCTACTTAGTATCGTACAATTCTAACTGCTCAATAGAATACTAAACCAAGTGAAAATTTCTATCTAACGGGAATCCGCCCAGCTATGGAGAAGTTCACCCTCTCGACTCTACAAATATTGAGAAAAGTTTGACTTTTGTGATGTTATGGAATCTATTACTTCTATACCAAAATGGACTTCAGTTTTACTCGATCTCCCACGCATCACCATGTAAGTGTTCCTTTCAGATAAAAATTTGAGGTTTAGCAAAAGATTTTATTTATGGAAAACCACATACAAACTGAGTTAAAAATAAGTGTTTTGTTTAATCCTCATCCCACGGCTCACACTCTGTTAGTTTTATTTCAATTTGAGGCAAACTGTTCGCCTCATTATGTTTTATACTCATTATTTCGAAGGCTGAGAAAGGCATTATCAGAACTGCTTGTTCACTTTGGTATACAGACATGCTTTCAATGCCTAACGCTGATTTCGGATTTTATACGTACATATTGTACTGTATCGATCGCCTGTAGTGTTGACATCTGACACAAACCCTTTCGCCACTGACATCAGTTCTGATGTAGACAAAAACGATTTTGTCATTATACGGGTACCCGCTTTATATGGTTTCAAAGCGTTCTCCATTATGACCATACCACGAAACGTAGTTCCCATATATCATAATGGTTCAAATTTCGGATGACGAGCAATAATGCCAATAAAATAAACTCGACTGAGATTAATATCAGCAGAAATTTCTTCTAGATGTAATTGCGCTAGATGAACATTGAGTGCCGAATAGAAACCGGTTTAAACCGTATATGCACGTAACAAATACAGTGGATTTTTCTCAGCAATAGCTTTATCAAAATATGTTTCGATTACTTCGATACGATCAGTATCTCTCAATTCCTTTCTCACATAATTTTGTTTTATACATCGAATTAGCCGGCAAAAATCTGGATCTTTCCCATACGTATCAACTGCTTTACATATTCATGAGCCTGGTAGTCGGCATCGTTTGTAGGTAAAATCCACTCAACATTTTCACTGATAAATCGCGTATTACGTCGTCGAGGACGAATTAGTTGCTTTATATCGTCAGTTTTTGCCTCATCTAACGGTGTTAGATTGTATTTATTCATCGTTATTGTACAAGTAATCTTTTGGTGACGCCGATATGATGCGGCGTGAAGTGCTGTTGAATCATTCGGCTCCAATCGATTGATTTCGTCTACGGTCATTGTCTGAAGATATTGAGTGACCAACTCGATATTGTTATCGCGACAGGCATTATATAAGAGGCTAGCAGTAGTTTGAGTACTTGCAGCAGACGGTTTTTGAACTAAGAACATACAAGGAAGAGAATAAATTATAGATGTAATGCTCCTTGTCTGAGTTCTAGAACAGTAAGTTTCGAAGATTTGTCTCCCAGTCCACTTACCTGATGTAACAGAAAGTCTGCTGAGTGTTCCACTGTCATTCGAATTTAACGAAGGCAATGGATTGGTAAGCGATGTGGTGGTAACGTCAGTGCTAAACGGTGGTGTTAGCAAACGATAGCGCGGCACGATTTCTTTCAGCTGAATAATATGTACGTCTTTCGATGGATTCACGCTTCCAATGACTTCTAAGCATATGCTGGGCATCAGCAGAACTTCCTCTTCTCCTACATAAGACGAATGCAGGGCTGGGTAACTCCGCTGACTTTCAACTCCAACTCCAATCCTAACTCTAACTCCGCTCAAAATTTTTCAACTCCAACTCCAACTCTCTCAATAAAAAGCTCGACTCCAGTTCAACTCCGGTTGCTTCACTTTTGTAACGAAGATTTTTCCGCTTTTACCAGGATTCTGGACGTTTTTGATAATAATGCGCATTATAAAAAATTTCCTTAAACAAATGACTTTTGTACAAATGAAAAAGATAGTTCTAAAAATCTTATGAACCGTAAACTCATTCCAATAGTGAATCGAAGTTTTAAATTTACTTTGATTGTATATCTTTATAGTCTACGCATCCATATATTCAATTGCAGGTCGTTCCTCTTGCTTCTTTTTTTCTTCTTTTGGTTTGTACTCGAGATATCTGTCGTCTAAAAATTCTGTTCTGATTCTGTCTACAATCTGACCAACTAATTCTTGGCTCGTAGTCAAACAACGAGATCTCTGTCGAACTAAAACTGCTCCGAACTGCACTGGTTGTAACTTTTCCCATAAACTTTTATCACTCCAGATGTTTCTGAATAAGATTTTATCTCGTTCTTCAACTTCAATACCATTTTGTACTTGGCCTTTTGACAGAAACGTATTTATTGGTTGCATTTGTCCCCACTCTACCAAGCATGTCTTTAGTTCGTTACGGTACTTCTTCCAGTTGCCAACAAAAAACTCAGCGTTTCGTTTAACAAACCTAACAGCTGCTAGTTTGCCTCCCATAGCTTCATAATCATCTTGATTATCTTCCGACGCGTCACTAAAGATATCTTGTTCATCGTATTGACCACGTTGAATATACTGTAATGCACCTTCATCAGCATAAACTAATTTAATATGCGTGATTTTTCCTGGAAACGGTGTTCGATTGTTACTGACACCATCGAAATGAACATGAAGATGATACCAGTACTCACCAATCTCTGTTAAAATATGCTTTCCTTGAAATTTATTGTCGGGGGATCGCACTGCTGCAATACACATTGGCGTATTATCTTTAAACTTTTTCAATTTCATACCACGTATCTTAATTGTCTTTGCTCGAGTTAGCCGCTCTAAAAACTGTTGACCTTCATCACGATTCAATAGCGGTCTCAATTTAAGGCTGCTAATATCAGGTCCTAACGAATTATTCATATGTCGAAGGGATAAAAAGGCGAAGAAATTTGAATCGACAAAAAAATTTAGATTATGAACGGTAAAATAGAGTTTATTTTCATAAGCACGAGGATTCGGAAGAAGATAGTTCATCTGATCGTTTTTTTGCGAATTACAAACAGTTTCATAATAACAGAACTGTGGAGTAGGCAACTCTTCCACTCTAAGTCGTTCTTGAAGTTGAGTGGAAAACGGACTTTTGGATTCTTTGCTGAGCCTAGTGAACTCGTTAGCAAGATCAGCTAACGTTTTTTCATCGAGTGTCTGTAGTTCGACAAATAATGGTGTAAAGAAATAACCATAAGAAGGCAGTTGTCCATTTGTTGACGTTTGAATTGTTATTGAAATGTCGGTCCCTTTAATGTAGGCTGCTTTGAATTGTTCAGCAAGATTATTTTTAATCCAGTTTCCAGAAAAACACGCATCAGCAACAATAACAAGATGACGTTGCTGAAATATTTCTGGTTCTGATTCGAAATCTGGACTAATACTCTCTTCCACCTGATTCGTTCGACATGTTTCAAGAAATTCAAGAATAAAATCTTGAACTCCAATGAATTTCGTAAAAGCAACAATCTGTCCACCTTCTAATAGTTCATCAGGACGAAGGCAACCATGTCCTGGTTGTGCAACCAAATACCCTTTGTACTGCGGATGCTTCTTGTCTAATGGTATGAGTCCTTTCATTAACTCGTTCGCTAATTCCGGTGACATTCCATGTCCAGTAATGTAAATAAAAACGACGCCGTTACCGGTGAATACGCCTGTTCGATCAGTTAAAAGCGAACTGCAACGGTAATCGTGAAAAAGTGATTTATCAGTACTTAACGAAATATAGCGTGATGCTAACAGTTCCCGAACTTCGTCCATGTTATTAAATAGAGTTGATGCTGGAAAGTTTTTATTATTCGGTTGAAGAGCTTTATTTTTCAAATGTGTTCGAGTTAAACCTGGTATTGCTTGGTGTTTATATTTGCGATCTTCAAAAAATTGTGTAATCAAATCAACATCTTCCGTCATCAATGTCAAATCTATCTTTTCATTGCCAAGTGGACCACCATCGATACCACATGGAAGTCCAAAAATACGATATGTTAACGGTGCCCATTTCTGTACAAGAAAAAGAAGAAAACAATGGCTTTATAGACGCATGCTTTGGTTTTCGGGATATGAGGCTCTCTTGCACTCATGCTAGTGCGCTATCGTGGGCGCCGTTCCGATTTCGTGTAGTACACTGATCTCACGTTTTTTCTGCTCTTAAATTCTGTCATGGTTAAGATCGAGGTTTCGAAAAATACCTAGTTTATATAGTTTTTTATGTAGGTAGAAGTTTTTTTACTTCGGGCTTGCTAGTTTTCTCTAGAAGGCAAATAACTTTGTTTAAAACAAATATTACCTTTAATTTCTCTGCAACCTTTTCAAGATAATTCTGTAACTCATTACGATCTTCGTCACTGCCAATTTCATTCTTTCTAATAATTCCAATCTGCACTTTAATAAATTTGTGATTATAAAAAAGCCAACGTTCAAAATCACTACGCAATGTTTCCTCTTCAGCTGTGCTGAGTTCGGCTTTTCGTTCAGTATTTTTCAACACATAATCCAGTAGTGTTTTCCAGCTTACCATTGCCTCTTGATTCTGTTTCTTAGTGATAGATATTATTTCCCCAGGAATTCGCATTCGTAGCGAATGAATTTTACAATAGTTCAATTGTGTAATAAACTTTTCATCTTTATCAGCTAATCCGGGTTTCGGCCCCTAAATATACAAGAGTTTAAATCAAACCTGCAGTTCTCATTTTAGGCAAGAAGAAAGTTGCTGAGTTTTTAATAAACATTTCAACATCTTATCGTTTTGCAACAAAGATAGTAACGTAACGCTGTTTCACCTTTCCAATGTCTTCCAATTTTGAGTATAGCTTTGCCACTTCTTCTCGTGGAAATAGATCATCATTCATCAAACCAATCCCTTCTGACTGGAACCATTCCCAATTTTCGGCGAAAAATTCCTTAAACCATTGAAGCGATGGACCAGGATCAGTTGCTCCTTTAATTCCAAGATCCAACATTTTCTTATATGTCTCAATAACATCTTGTTCCTGTTTTTGAGTTATTCGTACTCGAAAACGTTCTCGAGCGAAAAAGTATTCCATATAATGTTTCATAAGACTTTCAAATTTCTCATCTGTAGAATCCGACGCCATGATCTGTACCAGATAGAATAAAACAAACAGAAATCTTAAACTACCAAAGCTATCTCGAGCCCGTACACAAAAATCAATAGGAAAAACCGGCCGAAAATATGGGTTCCACCGGTTCATTTTCAAGCAGACAAGCCGGTCAAATACGACGGTTTGCGACACAATAACCGGCCTTTCGTATAAAAAGGGTGTGTTTTTGATATTATTTTTTGCATCGTTGGGTATAGCAGCAGTTCACGGCGGTTATATGTTGGTGACAACCGCAGAGATCTACATGTGCGTTAAATTGGCTAGAATTGCCCTTTTCGATTTACCAGCAGATGAAGCCGGTTACTTTTGTATAAAACTGCGATTCACCGAGATTGGAAAAAAAGATATTCGCCTAGATCGTCGGTTATTTTAGAAAGGGGGCGATTCATCCACTCCCTTTTAAAACGTATCTGCGGTTCTCGTCGGTCATATTTTTCGAAAAGTTTTGGCTAGAACCGCCTATCAAGATGATTTTCTCTCTAAAGCTTGCTTTAAGCTAAGGAGAACGAGAACGCTCAAAACCAGCGAGAACTGCGAGTAAACGTTCTTTGGTCTCTCTCTATTTTGTGAGAGATCTGGCTGTGCACACTACCTTTTTTTAAAAAGGGAGCGTTACTGATTTGCTAAGAACTATTTTCTCTGATTCATTACTTTAACTTCACAGAAATTATAAAAGTTCAAAATTATATGTCAGCTGCACAAAACTTATGTTCTTATGTAACTAATAGTGTCGCAAAAATAAATCGATGAATGAGTTGTTGTCACCCAACCGCACTGACCTGCGGTTATTTCTCCTAGAACAAAGCCAGCCGCCGATACTCAGCGTTTCTGAACTTGTTTCAGTAGCAACCGCAGTGAACCGTGTATGCTTTATGGACAACCGCAGGCAAAGGCAGTCATGACCGGCGGAACCGCTTGTGCTAATTTTACAAAAAAACGAGCGAAAAGTGATAACCTTCGAGACTCACGGTTTTTCAGTGAATAATCGGTTAACCGGTGCTCCACCGGCGAGAACCGATCTGATATCCACAAGAACCGGCACGAACTGTGTATAAAATAAAATCACACGCGGTCACCCGTGCGGTTTAGCTGGTATACATTCGTGCCTGGAGTGCACTGTTCGGTCAGATGCAAGTATAAATGTTTATGTTCAGAGAACTTCTCATGCTGCCAACTGTTCTCGTCACAGTTTAGCTCTAAATCTGTAAGTATGGTGTACATAATAGCGGCTAACTGACCGTTACGTTTAAACTTTATTTGCTTCTTACTTCGTTTGTGATGGTGTAACTGACGTCCTTTACTTTTCAAAAAAATAATGGTTCGTGCACTGCTGTCCTTCGCTTTTACACCATGAATTTTTGAATGAGTTGGATAAAACCAGGATATATAAAATTTCGGTTTTTTTTCTTTGTAAAACCAGAATCACGTACGATAAATATTTATTGAGTTAAATGAGTAATAAAATTTTCATCCTGCTTTTGCAAAAAATAAGAAGGAAGTGAAATGTGATCATACTGTTTTGCTAAATCTGACGCATAATTGTCCATAACAAAATCATCGATTGCAGCCGATTATGCAACTTAGTGACGAAAGGCTTTGACTTTTTTTAATAAGTAATTCTTAGACCGTGCACGTGAAAGCCGAGTAGCAGCTCAAAAGCTCATAACATGGCAAAATCTGACCTACACTTTTTATTACATATTCTGAATCTGTATAGTACGATCGCACTATCATCATACATATAATTCAATTAAGAGGAAAGACCCGACAGGTCTATCCTGTAATACAACACCAAAACTTCCAATTCATCAATGTTATGCATGTAAAACGAATTCTTTGTCTGCGAATGACGTGAACAATGTTATCCACCGCAGATTCGAGTACATGTTGAAACCATGACCAGACACATACAAGATGTAGAACAACGGGAACAAATACAAAATATTTTGTGGAAGCATGGTAAATTATTCGATACT